TTAGAAATTCTCAAAAAACTAGTTGACCAATGTACTTCAATTTTATTGTTGTTATTTAGAAGTATGAATTCTACGGATTTGAAGAATGTTAAGTAGTTGCGTGAAATTATCGTCGCATTACCAACACGTGCCAAAACCTGCATTTTGCCTCGTTTTTCGGCCATAACTTTTTTGCTATTAGTCGAATCTTTTTACGTGTGGACTCATTTTGTAGGTCGCATGGATACCTAAAAATCTTATATGAAAAGTTTTTTCCTGTCGATACTTTCGATGGATTCCCAAAAAACACGCATTATCATTCCTTGTTGTCAAATAAAAAGTTTACCCACAAAAATTGGTGTCACCATTTTATGCGTGCCTGTTTTAAATACCCCCTTGAACAACTGGCACCAATAAAACCAGACTTTACAATTATTTTGAGGAAATTTGCTAATTTGATTAGACTAACATATAAACGACAAGGCAAAGATATTACGTGTAATTGATATTGAATCAAAAAAATTCAAAATGGTATGATGACAGAAACCTCTTTCTGGATAAGAACAAGTACATTTCAGGTAAAAATACCTAATAGCTTTACGTTGAATGCCTTCAATCATTGAAACTGAATTTTGGTATATTGGCTACCAGATCACAGTTACATATTCTAGCCTGCGTCTGACAAAAGTAAGGAACAAAGTCATTAAAGCACTGACATTGGAGAACCCCTTCCAGTTTCTGATACAGGAGGCAAGTAGGCATTAACCTGCTATCGACGGTTACTCCAAGGTCCTTAAAAGAGGAGCATATGTCTAGAAACTGATCGTAGATATTATAGTCGTCATATATTAAATAATTAGCCTTTATTGTATAAGACGGAACTTTACTTTTAGAAACATTTAAACTAAGACGTTTCGCGAGCACCATGAAGAAATTAAATCTAAATTATCCTGCAATTGACACGACCGATGCGTAAATATTGACGTCGTCTGCAAAAAAACAGATGCAAACACTTGAGCTCGAGAGACAAATCGTTAATAAAGATCAGGAACAATAATGGACCTAGATTCGATCTTTGAGACACCCCGAATGTGGTCTGATAACAACTTGACCTATAACCACCATATTCAACACACAACGGTCTACCCATCAAGTATGAACTCATGAGCGACAACAACTTGATCAAATGCCTTCTGGATATCTGTAGAGATTACATCAACTTGCCACCGAGTGTTTAATATTTCGGAGATACGTTGAGTAATCAGGGCCAAGTTAGTAACCGTAGATCTGCCGCTCATGAATCCATGCTGACTGACAGAGATTGCACCCTTGATCAACCAGTAAATCGTATTATAAACAACTTACCAAAATTGTATAGAATTGCTATTTGTCGGTAGTTGGAAACATCTGCTATATCACCACTCTTATGAATGGGACATATCTGAGTGGTCTTCCAGATATCTGGGTATGTCGTTATGGGAGCTTAAGGGATTTACACCATCTTTTTAAGGATGAGTGCTCACTCATGGAAACCTTCAAATTACATGCATTCGAATCATAAATTATTCATATCCCAATATATATTCTTTCATCCACTTATTCAGCTTACAATTCGCAACAAACTATCATACGCCTCGCCTTAAGGTCTTTACCTGTTTTTATTAGGAGCCATAAATTAGCCATATCCAATAATTGGAAAGAAGGAGCTGTAAATCACGACGATTTTAATCAGAGTGCAATACACCTCGGCCACTTGAATTAATTACTTCCTAGTGTTTTACCGGAAAAGATCCAAGAATCTGAAACATGCGATGTTGCAGACGTCGTGGGCTAATAGGGTTTCCAGCGCGGGAAAGTTCACTTTTTGATTTAAGAAAAGAAATACAAACTTAATGAAAAGAATATATCTATTACTATCTACACATTCCGTCCAAATGTTGCAAAGTTCCTGAGTGATGCTGTTTATTTCTCGTCGAATGTTGTCTTTAAGCTCCTCCAGTGTTCGTGGATTATTGGAATACACTTTTGACTTTAGATAACCCACAAAAAAAGAATCGCATGGCGTGAGGTCGGTGAATGTCCCCAAACTTCGATATAACTTTTTGAGGCAAAAGTGCTTTCACCGTAATCATCGATTCTCTGGAAGTATGGACAGTGCCCCAATAGGAGCAAAAAAAGTGTCAATCACGTCCTTGTACCGCTCGGAATTGACTTTCAATGCATGACCGTTTTCATCTTTAAAGAAATACGGCCAAATAATACCGCTAGAGGATATGGCGCACCAAAAGGTTACCTTTGGACTATGTTGCTGTTGTTGATGTTTCTCTTTTTTGTTCGTTGGTGCCCAATATCTGCAATTTTGCTTCTTCTTTGCGTCTAAGCGAAAATGGGCCTTGTCACTAAAAGCATCGTTCTCGAGTCTGCGCTGCGTAGGAAAAAGGTTCAACATCCATTCAGCACAAGACTTCCGTAATACGTAAACAGTTTCCTTCAAAGCATGGACTGATTGGATTTTATAAGGGTGAAAGCCCATTTTTTTCTTCATCATGCCATGCAGTGTTGACCTAGGGATTCCCAAAGCAGTAGAATGCATCTTTACAGAACGCCGAGGATTTGCAATGTCCGAATCACTTATTCGACGCACATTTTCTTCGGTTGATACAGTAGGTGTGGGGCCAGGAATGGGCTTATTAAGAGTAGAGAGTGTTTCACGGAACCTGTTAATCCACTTTTCCGATAGGTTCTTACTTGTGCCATCTCTTGGTCAGCGAATGCTGTGTCGTGTACAAAATTTCCGAAGGGCAGCTCGTATGAATTACCACTCTTAACTTAAGCCTCGATAGCAATAGTACATTGCGCTCCGGTCCAACGTTCCATTGTGACTATATTTAAACCACATGCCGAACGCGTCGATCAAGACTTCTTCTCACTTCCTCGCGTATACGGTTGCCGCGAAATTCAAATTTGAAACGTGAACTCTCCCACTTGACACTCTACTAAGTACCGACGGACGTTGTAACGCCAGAGACTGGTCTATCATTATAATCCAAAAGCTGGCTGGCGACACCTTACGATCTTTTAAACATAACAGTAGGTGTTATAGGTATCGAACCCTTATTGTGCATCCATCTTAAAGAAAAGCATCCAAGGACGCATTTTATTTAGTGGTTCTCAATTGGTAGATGCTACTTCGCAAAAATTTTGGAATTCAAGTACTCAAATTTTAACAGACATGTTTCAATAATAGTTATTTGGTTATATCTAATAATTCCGATAGAAGTAAAGAAGCATTCATGACCCACAGTTTTTGAAGATTATTCCTTTGAAATGTCGACTGTTATTTTGATCATTGTTAACGCTGTTTGCTGCCTGATATTCAACCCATGATATTCAGAGCATTTTGTTTCAACAAAGCGGTGTCGCGCAACTTCCAGTACAGCGCATGAAATCATGGCTTTACTGCGTCAGTAAGTATCTAATTTTGTTTTCGAGGCCGATAAATTAGCCGTATAGACTTTTTGCATTGGGGCTATGTCTACATCTATGGGATAGTTCCAGCTTTTTGTTTTTAGCTTATTTGCTTTTGAAAAAAGTACCTCATAGGTCACCCATTTCAATATAGCATACACAAAAGGCCAAGAAAACGATTCCTACTGGTATCAAATACCAACGATACATATAGACATAGGTCCATAGGCCTGCTTCTTAGATTTCGTATTCTAAGAACTACAGTCGCAGCGCTAGCGCCTAAAGACGGTGATCGACACGGATACATGGTGTTCCGTGAAGGACTGGAAATAGTGAAATGGTAAGTATTACCAACTGAGACCTTTCCAAATCTGGAAATAAAGAAGGTTAAAATTTATTTTTTACGGATATAAAAGGTGATTTATTTAAATACAACAAGTCCCTGGTATCACATATCTTAGGTAATGTTGAACCGATTGAGATGAAATTTTCCACAATAATACAGACACTGTTGCAAAGGCCAGTGCCAGACTCGACTTTTTTTAATTGTTATTTGTAAAAATTCAACACATTTCAAGCTTAGTATCTACATGTTTGTACTACGTACAAAATCACGTACAACTTATACTTACTGAAAAAATAGATTGATTGCGTCTCCTCTCCTCCCATTTTATTAATATTTTACAAAATAGTGATTCGAACGGAACTAAAGATGTTTTGGGAAGTTAAACCTCAAATTTTTAAATACTGCCAGTTTGATTTCATTAACATTTTACAAATTAATGCTCAGAATGGAATTAAAGGTATTTTGGAAAGTTAAAACTCTAGGTCCGGATTGAATTGATTACATTACTTTATATTTAATCAGATGTAAGGTGCTTCAACTTAATAAATTATAGAATCAAAAGCCAAAATTAATGTTATTCCATATTTAGATTTTCAGTTATAGTTAATGGTTTAATTACACCAAAAATTCTGTTTGAAAGGAAAACCATATTTAATATGCAAATCCACTAAATTCAGCCATCCAGGCCAACTTGAAGTTACTCAAGTTACAAAAACGTAATATGCAGATTCAGATTTCATTGTGTGATGTACTTATGTGTTATTATGTAACTACTAACCAGCGCAAGGTTTTGGTTGACGGAACGTTAAACGTAACTGTGATGAACACGCCGAGTCTTGATCTGTGTATTAGGTTTCTCTATATCTTCGTCATAGGTTGGAGTTGGTTTGGAGAGTTAGAACCATTGCATTTACATACTAAATACTGTTCCCCTTCTTTGAGAAGTCATATCGTACAATATCAGTTGCTAGATTTGAATCACTAAAGAAATGCCGAAAAACGTATATGGGGTGCATAATATCAGTTTTGACATTTATTTATATAATTTATTGTCCTTTTTGATGTAAAATAATAATAAATTCATAGTATAAGTTACAGCGTTGTACTTAATGAAATACAGAGAAACAAAAAACTGAATCCGGCGCTGGAATTTTGAGTTTCCAATACATCTTTAGTTCAATTGTAAGTACTAAATGTTATTGGAAACAACTTGGTAACTTTTGAAATCTTGTGTTTTGACAAAAATGACGTACTTAAATAAATAAAAGTTTGTCTACAGAACAAAAAGGAAGGGCATCAATCTGTTTGCTGTTGCTCACGTGTAAGCACCATTCCTTGGCTTTTTTGTACATATTGAAATATTTCCATATTCAGCTGAAGAGGTGTTGATTTTGATAAAATATAATAAAGTTAAATGAGGGTTCAATAATGTACGAGATATTTGATGTTAAAGACTTGATGTGTTTAAATAAATCACCTAAAATATGCGTGAAAGATAAATTTAGAACGTTTCATTATCCGGTATGAAAATCCTCTGTCTACGTTGAGAAAAACAGGTATGGTAAGGCTATTGGATTTCTTGTAGTGCGCTGTTACATGGCTGTTACGCTATTTGAAGAACTGCTATTTATATTTTTAAAGGAACTGTATTACAGGTATTTTCTGAAAAATCACAGTACATGGGCCTTATCTAAATGATTGTCTGATCTGGATGAAGATCCTTAGTTACATGCTTCGATTGGTGGATGCATCCAATCGGTCGTTATAGCTTTACACTTTACCGACCGAGAACATTTCTGATCGCAACCTTTTTTGAGGGACGGATCGCCATCACGCACGTAGTACCTGAAAATGAGACTTTTATTAATTTTTATTATCTCATTATGCTATAGGTAGTAAAAGTCCAATAGGTACGTAGTCACCTATATCACAGACCGACTGATGTTTTGGTCAGAGGTCAAAGTTTGGCATAGTTGTGTTTCAAAGAGTGACTGTGCCACTTTTGGTCAAACAACCGACACTGAAGTTCATCTAGTAGTTCTCTCTCCTTCGTTCTATCTGTGTTGTAATTATCGGCTATAGATTGCCTAATAAAAGTATAGCGTGGCTTGATCGTACTGAATTTTAGCCATCTTCGTCAATCTGGCCAAAAAAATCAAAGTCTGACACTCACGAGAACTTCGGACTTTGTTCTAAAATCGATATGACTATGATATGAATGCACAGTTGAACACCTACGATGCAGTCTACGACTCTTTGCAGTATTAAGGCGCTGTACGTTAATGAAAGTTCTTTTGTTACTAAATATATGTAGTACACTCAACCTTTACTCTCTTACCTCCAGTATTGTTGGAAGAGATCTTCGTCTACAAACAAGCCTTTGGCAACGACATCTACCTCTTTTGGTGCTAACGACTTTAAGTTGTAGGCTTCCTTCATCGAGTACAGTTTATACCAGTATGGAGGATCATTAGGGTGTTGGTTAGAATGAGTTAGATTCATTATGTAGGTCTCAATATCGAGTAGCTCCTGGAACAAGTAATTAGGATTATAAAGTTTGAAATAATGGTATATTTCCATATCCAGGTTCGTCGAAGTTGAGCCATAAATTTTACTTACATAAGTATTTCTGTCTACATACATCACTTTATAGTTTGGATTGTAATCCTCATACGTTGTTAGACTGGCACCATTGTACCCTACATTGATTGGCTTCAGGTAATCCTCGTCATAAAATATTTTTAACTCATCAGTATGAGTATGGCCGTAGAATTGACCCACTATAATGTGAGCAAATCTGTAATAATTTATCTTATAAGTAGTAACACAATAAAATAACGCAATAACGTTCATTAATTTTAAACCTTCCTCAGTAATTTTGAATTTTCGTTAGGGACCTGGTAACTTTACATTTTGTTGTTATGTAGCAAAGCATAATATTTTCATAATGCAAACTCACAATCTGAGGTAAAACACCTCACTTTAGTAATGTCTGAAATAATTGAAGACACAAGTGGATAAAGGTGTCATGTAACATTTTTCTAAAAATTTCCTTTTTGCGTTAGACTAACCTTAAGTGGTGATTCTTTCATTCGGTGATTATTTTGTTGCAAAAACGAGATGATAGCAAACTCATTAAACTGAATACTAAAAAATGTCAATAAAGTGAAAAGTCAAAGTAAAAAATGTTTAAAGTCAATTTGATTTTGTTACATGACACCTTTATCCACTTGTGTCTTCAATTATTATCACAAAGTTATGAAAACTATATTATGTAGGGGTTTTACTATTGGCTCGCGTGCAAAAACATAATAAAATTTACTCTATTTCAATAAGCCTGAGACAAGCAGATGCTATTGCTGAATGATACCTTCGAACCAAAGCGACATAGCTTCGCTCCCATGGTTGGACACATTCTCCATTTCCTGTTGGAACGTGTGCAATAATATGGACAAACTGCCCACGAGCCTCGGAGTCTTCAAGTTCAACTCGCATGAAGTCTAGCTGTTCGTTGATATACGTTGTATTATACATCAGCCACCTGTGGATGTACGAAATTCATACACTTTGCAGACCATTGCATGGGCGAGTATTGTAACCAAGCGCACACTTCTCCAAGAAATTAGGAAGCCACGAAAAAGTAACCAAATGTTGGAGGTTATTTTAAAGTTCCTAACCTATACATGTCAAGGCCATGAAAGGCTGGCTTTACCATCAAAGTAGTCCTAGTTCAGCTAGTTTCCTTTTTACGATAATTTGGAGCGCATTGTTCAACATTTACAAAATAGAGAAACCATAACTAATATAACAGTTTATTTTTTGTGTGTACTACTTTACATCCATTAACATATCATGATTCCATAGCATATCAAAAGTTCCCTCAAAGTGGCATGCAAAACACCAAAACCTACAAAGTGAAATCACAGGAAGCAGGAGATTGCGTCAAGTGGTTTTATTCTCTACTTCCCACCAAATTGTGTCGACAATTAAATTATTTATGCCCAGTTATTTTCCGACCTAACGCCATATGAACTATGGTCCAAGGAAGACCATCAATATAAATATGTGAGATATAGAGTCGATTTACTTGACACAAGGTACTCGTATATTCAAAATACTCTAATGAAATCGAAACCTATATATAGACATCATGTGCGAATATTATATCTAAAATGTGCGTAATATTACATATCAGTGATCTAACCTCCAATGATATTATTCTAAGATGCAAATGCTACGTTAAAACTTATCGTACAGAAAAGCAATGCATCAAATATTTCTAACGCCCCCACTGGAACATCCACCACCCCTGGTAAAATACACGCGACACACCTGGCCGGCGCGGAGGTATGACTGAACCTTTGGCGAAAAGCGAGTCAGTTTACTAATGTCATCGAATAAGTAGTATTGGGATCGAAGCTCGGGATGTGTAGCACTGAATACAGTACTCAAGTTGTTTATTTTGAACAAACCAGCATTTTAATTTGTCTGATGAATGAGTAGTATTACCGAAGTCAGATCTTGATTATAAAATGATAAAAAAATATTTCACTGATACCAAAAATCCATCATTCATATACCACCACTCCCCCAATCCCCAAACCCCAATATGCAACCCTAACAAAAAAATGTCCGAAAGTGATTCTTTGATACCTCAAAAAACAGCAGGTTTGAACAATCTTCATTTTTTTCGATTTTTAGTTCTCACGCCAACTGGCGAGTAAGTATTGTAATCGCTAAAAACTTCGAAATTGAGATATGATTTTTGGACGTTATTATGACATGTACATCACGAAAAACTCATTAATTTCTATTGGTCTATATTTCTGTCGATCTGTCCGCTAATTTTATAACTGCCTATAACTTGAGAAGTACCGCTCGGATTTTGATGAAATTTTCACAAAAGGTTTTGAAAATCGGTGTAGTGGCGACGGAGCTAGTGGCAAGAATACAAAAAAAATAAAAATCACTGAACCTTTGTTTTTTGACGTTCCAGAGGCTCCTATACCATTTCGGATAATTTTTTGTGGGGGTTGAAGCTTGTGGATTGGGCGTTGTAGAGGTTGAGGGATTGTATATGTAACGACATCAGTATTAGTCAAAAACCTTTCATCACTAAGAAGCTTCTGATCCTGGTAACAACGGGAAAATTAAACGGTAAAAGACCTATGTATAATGTGCTAGTAATTCGAAATAACTTGGCAATTGTTGGCGTTGCATGTACGACGCGAGGTTGCATCGTTTAGATTTTAGATAATCGTAGCTATTCAAAATTGATTCAGAGGGGGTGGAACTGAAATTGCTAGAACATAGCTTTACTACGTTTCAGATATTCCTGCTCTGTTTCGGACCTTGTTTGGAGGGAATGACAATTGTAGATTCGAAGCTGTATGCGGTACCTGGTTGTAACTTATAGCACATTTGGTGTCAGTGAAAGATCTTTTATTATCAAGAAGCTGCTGATCTCAGTGATCCTATGCACCTGTTAGACAGTCAGACAAGTCACAAATAGTCTTGCTACATCTGCCATGGAAACAGATATATGATAGATGATTCGCTTTATATAGTTTGATATGCAGAGGTCGAAGAGTCATCGTACTTACCTAAGTGAACCTACGATTCGATTTTGCATTTTAAAACGATTTGACTGATCCCTTTTTTGACACCTCCAACAAAGGCGTAGGAAGTATAGAATAAATCTCGCCAGCTTTCCATTGATAACTCGGTCGCCACTGGGCCAACTTTCAAAACTTATACAGTTACACTTACTTTCAGAAGCAAGTCGAAAGCTTAGGTGCCAATAACGAGTTTTTTGCTTTTGTAATGAACATCTTGGGAACGATTACCCATGCTTAAGGCGCAGGATAAGCATAGATAGCGCTACCGAATATCGCATATAACCTCGAATCTGCGAACCACTGAAGAAGCCTGTTCCTAGTTCCCCCGGGCGATGTTTTATCTAGCAGTATATATGATTAGATACCCTAGTTCCTACACAAACAGGATAATATGTATTACTCCGTCTCCTAGGTCTCTGGATAAAGAGATGCAGGTCATAATCAATGAAACCTAACCAAATATTTCAAAACGCTGTACAAGTTAATCGGCAAAAATATTTCACTAACCTACTAATTACTTACCAGTTGAGATAATAACAAACATTGTTATTCAAGGCAATAATCTTTAGCCTATTGTTATATGTGTAAGAGTAGTAGCCTTGTCTGCGAACGGTTTTCAGCGCTGACTGGGGCAACCAAGGTCTCCATATTTTAGATGCTAGCGTATAGAGCCATTGCTGAGATATGAAATGTTTGTGGCTGTGTGTCAGGTCTATGTCAGTGGGCGGATATCTGGAACATGTACATAAGAGGAACTGTTGTTGTCGTTTTTCTAATATATAGGCGATAAGTTAGAGAGATGGTAAAGAGAAATAACCATACAGGGAATCTTCAAAGTTAGGACTTTCCTTTAACTACAGAGCGTATAGGTCAGGCAATAATAAGCATGTTTTTGATAACATATATACCAACGCTTTAAGGTAACCGAGATATTAGATTCTAAAACGCAATAAGTGAGCCAATACGATTATGCCTCCCTCTCCTCCCACAACCTTCTCCTACATCAAAACGTATGATGTTGATGTACTAAGAATATGTGACTATGTGAGTCAGTTTCCAAATCAGGCGTCGCGTGGTATCTAGGTTAACCTAGTTTCTAAGTAAATCGCATTTTAAAAACCGTAATTGTCAGATTTCTATAGCAATAACTTAATATGAGCAACTGCATAAGCCTATTGATATTCCGCGAGTATACTCAGAAGGTCGCCTTTGTTCTCGATGTGTCTTTCCATCAGAGCTACCTATAGTCAACGCCAAACAAAGTGGCGTGCACGTCATCACGATAAAAATTCCCCGACCTAATGCCTAGGTTTCTATCACAAACAATTGCTCTATTGTAGTTTCATATTAATGTGATATATAAATTGTAAAATGGTCATTACTCTCTTATTATGGTTAATAGTCATATAAACATTGTTATTAAAATATCACATAAGTTGCTTTCTGATAAATTTAGACGCATTATGCGAAATAAAATGTTTTGCAAACGCTCCAATCACTTATCGACATGTAAACGCACTAAACCGATTTCGCAGCGTTGACACATTGTCACCTTGAAACTTATTTAAACTGGGAACTGACATTTGTATTAATTTTGACACTGAATCAATTTGTGGCATTTCAAATCTTTATAAATCCTTTGGCCCCGCATACTGTAAATCAACAACTGTTTGTTTCAAAACAAAATTATTCATTTTACGAGTAGATAAAGGCAATTTTGGTATATAAAGATGCCCAAACAGTTAAATAGTCGGTGTAAGGAACTCGTGGCCTCGTTAATGCACTACTTTGAGCAAGAAAGGGACAACAACGGGCCTTTGTTGCCTTTAAATGCTGTTCAAGAGGTAGGTTACTAATAATTATATGTAATGTATATTAATAATAGTGAAATTTTATTTCATTTTTTGTAGCGTGTTGCTGCTGCTTTAAAAATTAGTTTAAGGACAGTTAGTCGTATTTCCGAGGGTGTGAAAAGTGATGCAAATTTAGAATCGCCCAAGAAAAAGCGGAGTTATATTAAACGTGTAACCAACACAGCGACATTGGATACAAGTGCCATTCGAGAAGTGATCTATAATATGTATCACAAAAGTAAGATCTTATTATAATAACTTATCAGAAATTTGCATTAATTTGTTAACTAAATTATAATGTCATATTACACATGGTTTCAGAAGAACAAGTTACGATACAAACTTTATGGTCTCGATTAAGAGATAGGGCATTATTTGATGGTAGTGCCACGTCTTTAAGGCGGTTGCTTAGAGATCTTGGATTTAAGTGGCTTAAGGACAATCCGCGACGAGGGCTCATGGAACTACCAAGTATAGATTTGAAAAGGGTGGAATTTCTAAGGCAATACAATCAAGCCAAGGTTGAGGCCTTATACCAGTTTGTCTTCCTCGATGAAACTTGGATATTTCAAAATGGGACCATAGGTCGCTCTTGGCAAAGCGTGAAAGCTATTAAAACAGATGGTAAAAGGTATGTACTTTTACACAATTTGCACTATAAAATTTAAAACTAATATATTTTAGATACATTATATTACATGCTGGAAATGAAAATGGGTTTATTGAGGGTAGTGAAGCGATATTTTCTTCGAAAACAAAATTGAGCTATTACCATGGAGAGATGAACCAGGACAATTTTTTGAAATGGTTTCAACATCAGTTATTAGAAAAATTGGAGAGTCCATCTATGATTATACTGGATAACGCCCCTTATCACAGCATGATATTGAACAAAGTGCCCAACAATGCATGGACAAAAAAAATATCCAAGACTGGTTGACAAATCAAAACATACCATTTTTAAACACAATGTTTAAAACAGAGCTATTGAGTACTGTTGCTCGGTACATAATGCTTCTTAATTATATATATTTTGGTCGACAGTTTATATTTCTTTTGTTTATTCCTATTCTTAAAATAACTGCTTTTTTAGAAACAAGCCACCTAAAATATACGTGATTGATGAATTGGCGGAACAACATGGGCACAAAGTTCTTCGTCTGCCTCCTTACCATTGTATATTTAACCCTATTGAGTTAATTTGGGGCACAGCAAAAGGTTACTATAACAGACATATTGGTAGAGATGGTAACAGTGAAAAAGACTGTTTGGATATGTGGAACGAGGCTCTACAAACGGTTACCCCAGACATGTGGAAAAATAGTGTTCGACATACTGAGCAAGAAATTTTTAAATGGTATGAAAGAGAACGAATTTTTGATCGACCAGACATCGAACCTTTAATAATCAACTTTGAGAGTGATGAAGATTCAGATTCAGACAGCGCTGAAGAAAGAAACTCCGACTAACTTTATTGTACAGAAAAAGCTTACACCAGTAGCTTACCTAATTTTAGAATGCATTTTTCTGTATGAATTCTGTAAAATAAATACCATGCATAAAATTTGGAGGACCCCATTTGGATTTTTATTCAGTACCTTTAAGCTATCAATTAAATATGGTAGTTTCATAGTGTCATGCAAGTACAGATCTATAATTTTATTATACTATTATTTTTGTTCTCATTTGAGGTTAATATTGCTTATAAACCTAGATATGTAAATAATAAATTTTATTATTTTACAAAAAGTTTGGCAACAATGTAAATTTTTCAACACACCCACCTTGATGACGTGCACGCCACTTTGTTTGGCGTTGACTTTTTTTTTATATGCTTGTTTATATCATGCTAAAGCCATCGGGTGAAAAGCAGTCGAAGACTAGACAGCACCAAGTGTTGCAAATTTAGGAACAGATAAACAAACTCGTATTATTGAATAAGAAAGCAACAGCTTTCGGCAAATGAAAAGTGAGTATTTTTCTTTAATATCTTTTCTACGTTTTCGGTGTTGTTATGCCGCAAATCAGCTTTGGTATTGAAAACGCAGTTGAGTCTAAAAAGGAAAGTCACAACTTTCAGGACACCCTGTATAAAATTAAAATACGCAACTGGCTGGAAGGCTTGTAACGTGTATAGCAAGGTGGGGTCACCATAGCTGATTTTTCTAAGAATAAATAATGTATATACCCAAAATTATGAGTTTTTATTTACTACCCAGGAGTGTAAAAAATGGTCTGTTCTAGACTCTGGCATGAACAATTTAGTTCGAAATAGATGTCCGAATTGAAATGTGTTTATTATTCACAAACCTCACCAATTACGGGTTAAGTATTATGTGCTTGAAAACGTAACATGCAGATCGAATTTGAGACAAAGGAACATCCCACATTCCTATAACAACAACAAACTTGCCCTCAAGATTAGTACGTTTGTCAATATTCCTTTGACTATTTAAATGTAGTTCTACTGCATATTAGAAGGCATAGTTGTTTCTGAAAAGGAAAGTTACAAATCTCAAAATATCTTGTATTGCATCAAATGAAACCTTATTAGATTTTTTTTCTTTGCCTCACCATAAGTATGTATGTTTTTTAAAATGAACGGCACATGCACCAGAAGCTCCTTACATAATATTATAATAAGCGAGCACTTCTTCCCAAATCTGTATAATTTCAACTTATTTTATCCTACCCCCACTGAGCGGGGTCGTGGCAAATGCTTGTTCCGGAAGTTGTATTCAGTATACAACAAGTGACTGTACACGCGTTGAGGAATACCTCAGTACCGATTGCCGGGTGGCGGTATAAGTCGACCAACGGGCCACGTTAGATCTATTTAACATCAGCAACATGCAAAAAGAAGGTGGTAGACAAGGAAGTCGACCCAGGCGGTACCGGTGTCTTATAAATAACCACATGTTTCCACACCTAAGCTGCGCAGTCGTTTAACTTCACCAACAATGAAATTAATAATGATCTATCCCTGGAGTACTAAGAATTCCGGATGTAAGCTCACTCCACTCTCGGAATGTCCGGGTGGAGGGTGGACCCGAGGGAACAACATCGAAGATAAAATTTGTCACGAACATTTGAGGGATTAATAGCAACATTGATGCTGTCCCTCACTAGCTGCAATCAATCTTCCTGCCATTATTTTCTTAGCAGAGACAAAAAACTTAGAGTCTGCACAGAGTAATCAGGGTGTACTCTATTCTGAAGAAGAACGGGGGAGCTGTGGCTTTTGTTCTGCTCCAGAGACGTTTGTTTTGAATTAGACCAAAACATCGCCCAAACTTATTTGCTGCCTTTATCGCTCTCCCTCAGGTCATAACTGGGATGACCTACTTGAATACATCGCTGTCAAGATCGACTTCCTGATCAGAAATCACCTCGCTTAAGAGGTAGTTCTCCTCGGCGATTTTAATGCCCATAATAAGCTTTGGTGCAGCAGGTCGGTGCAGTTGAAGCGTTCGCTCTACCCAAGAGCTGATCCAACTGGAGATGAGCACCAATTTTTTCCCCTGCGTCATGCCAGTAGCCTGCTCGATCTCTTTCTGACCACACATCATGTCCTTTACTGCACTGCTGTCCTGTCCTCCCTGGGTAACTCAGACCACGGTGGCTGTGGCAGCAGAAACTCATCCAGGCCGCAGAATTTGGCATTACGGACATGCCGACTGTGAGGGGCTTAGACCTTCCCTTGGAGAGATGTTTGTTGCGCTGACGCAGAACCTTACAAAACCCCACTGTAGAGAACAACAAGCTGACGTCGAGTGAAGAAACAAATATAACGAGGCGACCCTCACAACTACACTGTACTCTTAAGCAAACTTCCATCCTATGGCCTCCTGCCTGACTGTGGCCTCCCATCCTAACCGCGTCGAACTTCGTACATTCAGAACTGGCCATTACGACCGATCCTTTGTTTCGAGCGTGTCGAGATTGTGGAACAATCTATAAGAGGAAGCTTTTCCCAGTTCTACTAACCTTTGGAAGTTCAAAAATTCGATTTACAAAATGTCGTTGGGATCCTCATAGCTGCCGCGGTATATATACATAAGAAATGTTATAATGGCGTTACTGATACAAGTACAGAAGGACAAAAAAGAGACTTGAACCAACTTTTGCTGAAACTCCGTCTTTGATGAACAGAGGCACTCATCAGTTCATATTTTGTGGACAATACGTTAAGCTGGGTTTCGTTAGTTTGAAAGTTTGACTTGCTTACTGGTTTACTGGAGCCGGTTCATGATTTCCAAATAATGGCAAAACAGGTGTGTTGGGAAAAGATTCATAGAATATTTTAAAGGTATCATAAAGCAGCTTTGTGTTGTCCTTCCTGGAAGCTTTCCATACTGCATGATCAACGACGTCCCCTGTGAAGTATACCATATCAATATCCTGTAAATGTAAATTTTAAAATCAGGAATACCATAATTTATTATACGATTTCTTGACTATGAATAATCCACAAAGCAAGTGCTTGTTTTTGCATTAGTTCAAATTACCTTCAGCTTTCCTTAAAATGAGAATCTTCTAAAGGAGACTAAGTGCATGAATATAGTTTCTGATTAGCCAACTAACAACACTGATGCGGGAGTATGTATCGGATCTCGCCGCTAGGAGCACGTATGGTACCCGAGTTATACAGCATTAGTTGTAACATCAATAACTTACTCGATGTGTTTGATTGATATGCATCATTACATCAAGCGCCAACCATGGAGGTGCATCACACCTTCTGTAGTCACCCCAAGTTCCTGCTTCTTTGCCTTTTCTTTTATTTCCCAAGCCCTTTTTACAGCAAACGGGATACCCACAGTCGGCGACGCCGCCTATTTCATAATCTGGTGAAACATGGAAATCTGAGAGCTGAATTATCGTTATTGGTTTCGCATTTGGATCACTTGTTAGCTGAAACATTCAAATTATTGCAGTTAGAATACTCGTTGCGCAAATATTTGAGTTATACATTTTGTGATACAGTGAAGAATTACAGTTTTGAACAATGTCCAAAAAGTCTTAAGTTTCAGACCCTTTCTGCGTTCCTTTTGTTCAATCCTAGGAGCGACGCGGTCATGCAATGCCTAAATCCGAATCAGAAAATATTAGTCATATTTTGAGCAAGCAACCTTATTAAACCACCATAAGATAACTTGCAGAATCTACAGTTTTAGGCACGACATATGATACAGGGGTAACACCACTGTAAAGGCCTACAGAAAATGGCGTCAAGTAGGTTGAGTCTGCACGCCGTCATCATTCATCTTTGTGAGAAAAAAGTTAGCTACGAACATGCATAAGAAAAATTAAATGGATCAGGTGAGTCGTTCAGACTCATGCAATTAAAAATTGCAAATTCATCATGATTTTATGTACAATTTTAGAGCTTTCAACAGTTTGACCACTATCCCCCGTATGAAAATTTGCTACTTTTCGAGGCATGTACGCTTTCACACAAACCTATCTCTTGCAGCAACTACCGACTGTGAAGTACAGCCATCAGCCGGACCGCGTCGAACATATTTTATCCAGAGACGAGTCTATTGAAAACATTTCGTCATCATTTTAAGGGTAAATGTACAGGGAAATCTGTGTTGCGTGAAATATGTCTGATAGGTACGTAGAATCACCGGGGCTGAAAGCAAATTAATAGAACAACGTTAAAACATAGGGATATAATACCATCCTTCACCCTCTACAGCCCTCAATCATCCTAAAAGACATCTTCTAGGAATGCTTAAAAGTCTCTGAAACGGCAAAAAACGAGGTTTGATTTCGTTTATCCTGTAACCTCAGCTTCGCCGCTCCTGGAGGAAAAGCTATATACCTTTTTTAACTTTGAAATAGTGGTAACCTGATTTTTGCAGTTACAATATATCTCCGCCAGTGCAATGGCATGAGAAATAAAGGTACTGTTTTTTGTAATTTTTTTTTCAGAAGCAATCAATGATGACATTGGAGGAAGCTTTTGAGTGTTAATGAACAGGAGAAAATCATACAAAAATACTCAAAATAGCGCCATCGCAGTCACACAGGTTAGCCGCTGCAAAATCCGAACAAAATAAAGAAAAAATACATGTTTAAAGAGATGCGTTGACCATTTTGAAAATATTATTGTTTTTGTTGATTCGAGAATTTGAATTAAAAGGTTCAAATTTCGACAAAGAAGGTAGGTGATTATTTGTTGATAAAGGGTGATTAAACTAACTTCTCAAAAATCCAAGTTATCTTGCGTGCCGTTTTGTAAATTGTAATATTTTCATGACAATTCAGTTTTATTAAATAAATATATGTCAAATCACTTCCACCAAAATTATTGTATTACCTTTTTTCCACAAAAAAAACACTTTTTTGAGCGTTACACTAGTGAGTGACGTGTTTTGCCCAGGTATGTCTGTCACTAGATTAGATAAAAAGAAATCCAAAAAAAATCAAAGACTCCAGGATGTTTTGAACTTTCACTTTTCATGATTGATCTCACTTCAGCATCTGCTATAACGGAACCGACATAACCGACATAAAGCCAGAAGTGATGACCTGTACAGCAGGAAAAAAAATTAAATCAAAATAATTCGCGAACATAAGTTACTTAGACAGTATATTTTAATATTTTACCTTTAGTACAGTATTATCTACTTAGATGACAGTAATAATAATGTTACCTTTTTTGGAATCTTTTTTGTGGATTCGGGAGTCACATACGTTGTCCAGGTCAATGCAGGGTGGTTGAAATTGCAGTTTTTCTTTTGGAGCAAAATGCTGCATGCCAGTTGTGGATCGAAAATGTCGCTTTGCTCAGTAATGTAATGTAAAATAGGCTGGAAGTCAAAAAAGTTTAACTGTTCCTATGAACGAACCTGTATTCATTACCAATAATAGCAAGTATTGTAGGACAAGGCAAAATCAAGTAATAGTACTTCGTTTCTATGATTGACTAGTAAAAAATGCACCAATTCAACCCACTAAAAATACCTAAGGTTCACTATAATCAATTTATTTTGCCGTTTGAGGTGATCACATTGACACACAAGTACTATGCTTCATCGTAAAAGTGGCAAAGTGGCATCTCATGTTGGAACTCCTTATAGTATAAAATCACTATTACTGAAAATATCGAACTAGCGGGGTTGTCAAATTTAAACATTTTTGTAATTTTATTCTCTTGGAATGAGCTGTCCGAATAGTTATAAAATATGGAAAATTCCATTTAAATGTCAAAATCTGTTAATCTATCTGTTTTAAACTGAATGTGGCATATTTTATTGCACATTCACTTAACCCTTAACTGGTAACGTGCAAATTTGGAACACAACTGGTAACGTGCAGTCTGTGAGACTGGCACCTTTTCAAATCAAAAATAAATAAATGAACCTTATAATTTTTTACAAATATATATGAAGGTATGTTAGTTGCATATTCTCAGTAATAATTTTACATAAAATATCCGGGAAAATTAACGTGAAAAAAAAATTAAATAATAATTATCAACTTGAAAAAAAAATTGGTAGTGTAATTTCCAAGGGAGCATGATAATGGAAAAAATGATAAATGAAAGCAATGTTATATATTTTACTATTAATGATAAATGAAACAATACATCAATGAAACAAAACGTTAAGAAATTTTGCATTTCAAAGGTCCCAGCAGGTCCTAAATCTAAGGCTTATTCGCACAACTGTTGCATTTGGGATGTGAACACTGCAGGCATACTGGTTTCCTACACTTCAAGCACAGATATTTTGTCATTCGATGTGTGGTCTTATGACACAAATAACAGGCTTTTCGCTTTTACAACATCAAATTTTCCTGTCTTTCGGGTAAATTTTCCGTTCTGTCGGGTAAATTTTCTTCTGGTCTGCCGAGGATACGTGATATGGTGTAGCGTAACTCGCGAGGCAAACGAGGATTCTGTAGTCGTCTTTCCATGTGTCCTTGGACAAGTTTGATAGCTAGTTCTTTCGCAAATACAGATTTGTCTTTCATCACTTTATTGTTTTTGTAACACTGATGTAAGATGTATGAATTCACTACCGAGACGTCAATAATACGGTAAAAAACAGCTAAAGGCCATCTACGTGTACGACGACTAGAACTACTTTTTGCACATTTCTCATCAAGAGAATCCACCCCTCCTTTGTTGGCATTATAGTATGCAATTATTTCAGGTTTCATTGTCTCTGGATCAGTAAAAGTCCTATCATGCATTGTGGAGATAAGTATGGTAGCCTTGTTTTTCTTTCCAACATGGGAAATTATAGTTGAGTATTCACGAAAGCCGTACAGAGTTGATCCAAGTTCCCTTGCCTTGTTCGGTAAAAAACAAGGTGGAATTTCCTTTTTATTTTTTTTCAACGTTCCAACGTATGTGAGCTTCTTTTTCAGTAATATGTCTGTCAGCTCCACCGATGAAAACCAGTTGTCTCCCGTGACGTTGCGGTTGCTCCCAAATAAAGGCTGTGCAAGACGTAAAACGGCTTGAGTTGGCTTAGAATAATTCCTGAATTCAGGGTCAAGTCCAATCCCATCGGAATCTTTTCCTGCGTATATATACGCATTGTAAAGGTAGGCATTTCTAGCATCTGTTAAAGCCATTATTTTTATCCCATATTTGGAAGGCTTGTTTGGCATATACATTTTGAATCTAGCTTTGCCACAAAAGCTCACAAGCATTTCGTCAACGGTGGTCGACTGGCCAATTCCATAGACATTTTGGCTATTCTCTATGAAACTGTTGAAAATAAAAGAAATTGCTGCTACAGGGTCCTGCTTTTTCCTTTCGTTCCTGTCCTCTGGATTGTCAAACCTCACTGCAGACAGAAGTGTAGCAAATCGTTTTTCGCTCATCACTGCCCTGAAGATGTCTCTTCCACTTCCATCTGTCGCAAAAATAGTTTTGATATTCTCATGGTTTGAATTGAAAACAGATGTGAATATCAAAAGTCCAAAAAAAGCTCTCAACTCAATCTCGCCAACGTCTTTCAATGTGGTCGAATCCACTTTATACTTTGTTCGCATTGAACTTATTTTATGATTTGTCCATTTCACAATATGTTGTAACATTTCTTCGGTAAATAACAGTTGCCACACAGAAATAGGATCTGCTTCTTCTCCGAGCTGTCGAGCTTTTCCTTTGATAACAGGAACTTTCGTTACAATATTATGTTTCCTGGTACGAGATATTGGTCGAACTTCCGTTGTACACCATCTATGACGGTTTCTTCCAAATAAATACTTTCTCTCATCCACACTTTGTTGTTCTGTAACTTCGTCATTCTCGTCACTACTTTGAGATAACTCACTTCTACTATCATGATCGGAAATTTCAAATTCCTCGTCTGAGGTATTGTCCAAGTCACTAGATTCACTATATACTGCGTCATCTCTTCATACCAACGCTGAAGAGTCTCCTCAAAATCCTTATCACCGTAACGTACACGTTTTGACGGGCCTGCCATGGCTACAAGTTGCAAGAAATTCTTACACAAACCGTAACGTGCCGTCTCACAGACTGCGCTGAAGTAACAATTACAACTGTCTCAAAGATGGTTTTCCCGAATTTACCACTGTTCATGCGGTAGACGGGGCACCAATAGGAGAACGATTAGATAAGGTCATTGACCGCAGCGCAGGTACAGTTTTGTTCCAACATTGGAAAAAAAATTGCTTGCAGTCTCACAGAAGGCACGTTACCAGTTAAGGGTTAAACACCTTCAATAGAAGAAGATTGATTTAAAATACGATCAGGTTTTGATATAATTTTGTTGAGTTATGAGCGATTCACGGTACAAAAACTTGGACACCCCACCAATCCACCATTTTATTGATTGTAAGTTCATGAAGTACCATAAGGAGTCTCAAAATGAGATATTACACAACGTTCATTGGACCAAGATGGCGTCCAGCTAGAATATAATTCATCAGTTTCATCACCCCGAGTTTCATTTTGCTAACTTGACCCTTTCACAAAAAAAGCAGGAGGGTCTTTTTGGAAAGCACGATATTAACGAGGACCTGCAACTACTATATTAGTAAAAGGTATACCGTTGATCCAATTTTTGAAGTGACTAAGATTAGTAGCATTATTCAACATCTATATGTATTTTTAAATGATCTGACATCATCTTAAAATCAATCAACAGGCAGGTTGTTTTTGAAAAAACTACTTTTGAATATAAAATATACTGACCGCATTGACATTGAACAGTTCTTCGCAAAACCCTGAGATAGTCCATGTAGCAAAAACCAGATAAATGTTACACAGCTTCTCAAAGAGCAATTGCACTGTCAATTTCTTACTCATTAAGTGGTTGACTGCAGCTAGACATACGTGACACAGAGTTTGATGTTGATTGGGTTGAACAAGTTTCTTGAGCTCATCACCTATCTGAAGGTCGAAGATGAGCTTCTGGATGACTTTGGGTTCGATCTTGTTATAGGACGGCTGCCTGAATAACTGGGTCAGTTCCCCTACGAAGAAGGCTGGAAGAAAGTTCAAAATTTAGATGTTCACTTCAGACTATCAACTTCATTGAGTCATAATCATTTGGTTCCTATACCTATCATTAGGGGTTTTACGGATACAGTTAAATTGAGCATTTTTCTACATTGGATTGCTTCTAACTCACCAACTAATCATCAAAACTTTATATTTCGACATAAATAGTACATCAATCTTATTCTTTTGAAAGAGTCAATCTGAATATGCAACAAACTATGGAATACTTAGTTTAAAAAAGTTCACAGATTTTCAGTTTTCATAGTGGACTGTTTTGAATTTTATTGCGTATTCAGATAAACCCTTACAAAAGAAGAAGATTGATATAATATACTAAGTTACAAGTGATTCAATACACAAAAACCTTCAACTTTGACAACCTGCCAGTCCTCATTTTGAAAAATGGTGAACTTATATGCGTGTGTACGTACTCATAAGGAGGGAAACGAGATATCATATGACTCTCTACATATACTATCTGAAAGCATTCCGAGATGACATCTTGAAATTTTCAACTGCCACTCTTAACTAAAATATTATTATGCATGCATCAATTTCATCACTTCCAGCTTGCTAACTTGACGCGTTGAGGAATAAATAGGAGAAAGTACTTTTTGAAAAGCACTGTACAGTACCACGGTTGATGAGAACGGCACGGAAGTCGTACTCTTATCTGGTTTTTCACAACGTTTGAAGTCGGAAAGTTATATTTAAATGATAACATGCATGAAAGTGTACACATGGTAGAAGAAAATTATCCTTGAAAGTAAAGATAAATAACCACTTTTAAAGGGGTACCATTTATCATCCTTATTATCAGATAATTGTTAAGTGTGATACTGTATTCGTGTCCATGTCATAAAACATTAATAATTAACTTTTTGTTGTTTTTTGATTAGATATTATTTCATATCTCACAGATCTTGTGTTGTCAGCTTCCCCAAACTTTTTGCTGACCTATTCAGTTGATGACATGTGATCGTAATCCACTCTAGACCTAAAATCTAAAATATCTCAAACTTGCTTTTAGTGCCGCTTTTTAGGCTGGTCTGTGCGTATGTTTTATACTTGCATTGTGTTGAAACACGCCTGGCATGGACAGTCCCGAGGACTTTTTATTATACGTATGTGAAGACTCCAGAATTAGTACCAACAAAATGCACGAATCCAAGACAAACCTACGAAAATTCCAAGTATCACTCAGTAATTAAGCCATGATACGCCTACAGATGGCAGGGCAAAAAATTAGGCTCTGCTTTAGCTTCACTATTCATCGACTGACATGGCGTTCTGCATGAGTTGCCATAATGATGTTATTTGCACCGGTCTACACTTTTTATCAATGCAATATTCACATCGATACATGCATCTAAGAACACTGTAACTGACAAAAGTCGTGTTTTCAGGAGAGCCATATCAATTTTCTATCAACTTCAAGCTTTTGGCACTATGCATGGTAACTTGGAACACATTTTTGTGGTTTTGTAAAGACTGATCGTTGGTCAACGCTATTTTCTTAAAAAAATTGGAAAAATTCATGCAAAAAGCAAAAAACGGGTAACTAAAATGTGACGAAAGCGTGCACTTAGCTGAATAATCATTGTAACGTATGTTACAATGTTCTTCCATAAAACATAGTCATTATTTATCAATTGTAAGAGCATATACAATGATAAAAATAGGAAAACTGTACCTGTAATAACATTGTAAAGGTTCTTACAGCAGCATTAACATTAGGGTGACGCTATAGGGAATGTGCCTCATCTGAATGAGAAGAGCCTACGGTTCTTCTTCTTTACTTACTGAAACTATAAAGATTAAGTGAAAGGATTGCACACATCGGGAATCCTCTACAGTTGCCTATTCTGACTCCGAGTCCCTTCTATTATGACCACCACAGGTCAGACTTTGGTAAAAAGGCTTCTATGTTTCTGGGATATTTTCCGTACAGCATCCTTTTAAAGTCACTTACAATGCGCCGTAGTACCTTTGCGTGCATTGATAAGCACTGTAAAGGCAAATATAATGTTTTAATAATAACAACTGGGTTGTAGTAGATGCGTAACATACATTACAATATCCTGCGCAAGCTGTAATGGAATAATTATGTCGAACGTTACCATGATCTTACTGCACTACCGTGGCAAAATACAGTCACAATGGTATTTAAAATACTTCTTTCTCATCTTTGATACAAAGAAAATGTTTAAATTCTTATACTAGCTGAAAAAATTAAGTAAGCTCTATCTGAATCAACTAAAAACTAAAAATCGACCAAATGTGAGTTACAATGTACTTAGATGCATGTATCGACATGCTTTATACCGTTTTAGGCTTTTGACAAAATAAATATGTAACTTTTTGACATGCGCATCAATATTGCAATTCAATTTTCCGTACTGTATATTTTAGACGTTAAGTAATAATCTCAGGGTATGGAAGTATAAATTTTTTTTAGTCCAGTTAATTTCAGAGAACAGTTTGCTTCATTTGGGCGACCATTTAATGGATCAAATAACAGTATAATATTGGGAGAAGGTCTTTACACTAGTTGGATCATAACATAAGGATTGGGTAGTTTGTACCGATTTTTTGACACAGGCAAAAGGTGTTTGAAAGTGTACAGAACACCCTGTATTTGAACGCCTCCCTCGATAATCCGCTTTGTATTGAAAATAATGTATTCACGTACTATCGGACCAAACTAGGACAACAATAAAAGGAATTATTTCTATACCCTATAGATATACAAATTCCGTTTGATACACTATCTACAAATGAATATACATTAGATCATAGTGTAACAATAGAAAATTAGGATACGATACATACTTACCGATTGTTCTTGAAAGTAATATCTAAATTAGGATTTAATCACGAATTCAATATTGAATTCAATGACGCTCATTTTTTCTTAACTGGCTTTGCACTTTCAACTTTTACTACAATTTCATGTTGATCTTATTTCCTGATGTATAATAGTTAAATAGCATTTTAACTATGCAGGGTCAGCCAGAAATAAGTGAATGTATTTTATATAATGAATATTTCTCCTTGGGCAACCACTTCTATGTGTCCTCAAAGCTGGCAGAGCGCGTAGGTCAGGCTATAATAAGCAAGTTTTCCTAGTAACACATACATATACCAAAGCCTTAAGATAATCAAAAGTTCTGAAAAAACTGTATAAGGCTCCATCCCCTCCTATGACAAATGGTAAGATGTTTTCTGATGCTGTGACTATATGGGTCAGTATCCAAATCACACGTCGTGCGGTGTGGGTTAACCCAGTTTATAAACAAACGGCATTTGAAAACAGAAATTGGAACATCGCTACAGCAATGACGCAGTCATTGATTTGATGTTGATTTACTGTCAGCCTCTTCAAGCCGTCGTCATCGATATTTCCAACAGAGCTGCGTATCGTGCAAAAGCCGTCTGAGTGGGCACAGTAGAAGACCAAGACACCCCCAAACATTGTAAATTTAGAAAGAAACTAACAAACTCGCGTTTTTGAGTCGAACATCATCAACTTCAACCACTAATTATAAACAAAACACGTGTACTTGAAATAACGTATCAAATACATAGTGAGTATTTTTCTTCAATTTATTTTTTACGTTGTCTATGCTGTTTTACCGCAAATTAGCTTTTATATTTCACACTTAGCTATTTCTATAAGGAAAAGATCCAACTTCTAGGACACCGTGTATAATGTATTTTTAAGACAATCGTATTTAATAGTAAAGGGGTAACATCTCTATCATAGAAGTCTTATACGCTGATAGGCACAGAAAAATCGAGTTTTCAACATGCACTGTAGTTCAGCACTTAGTCGACGTAGTATGACCTCAATATTGTTTGACATAAGCTCATTGTTTGGAAAATAGGTTACTTTTATTGGTTTTGTATCGCACGATTTTTTTTTCAGCTCAAAAGTTGTTTGTAAAACGCATTATTATTACGGAGTATTATAAATTCTGCAGTTTTAAACAGATTGATCATTAATTTCTCCGTAAGTACTTACAGTATAATTGTCTACATTATGGGTTTGTTAATTCCCAGCATTAAAAGCATGTCTGTTAAACGAATTACACAACACACAGCCTGTCGCACTTGATCTTACAAATAGTGCAAATCATGTTCTAATAATAACAATAAATATGGTTATTAACTGAATCAATTAAAAAGTATATGGGTGATCTAGATTTACTAACAGATACAAGTGTGCTGTAGGTAACTGTAACTGAAAATTACCGTAAACTCGAAAATGTTTGCCATCATGGTTATGTATTGCAGGTAAAAACCTGCATATTGTCTAAGATGTTTCGCTTTCTTTTATCGTTGTATATCTCTGTATCAACATACTATGGATTTTCTTCAAAAAGATACACATAGTAGCCCCAATTCCTATGTACCACGAAACCAATCCACCATTATGTAAACCTGTTGTCTGATTTGGAACACCGATCTTACTGATGAACTTAATTTTTTATACTCCAGCTACCACGAAGGCATAAGGCCTAAACACCCATGGGGTACCGTGGGGCTATAGGGAGATACATACAGGGGAAAATGGACGCCACATGGAATCTAGCGAGGAACACATTCTCGTCCCGCCTACGAGATCCGCCGGGTAGTACCTCCGCGTACGACAGACAGAGATCGTCTACCACCTACGAAACTTACTGGTCAAAGCAAACAGTTTCTGCAAATGATGCCTCTACTCAACTTAAACCAAGTTATTAATGACCCGACAAGAATAATAGCAAATACAGCAACCATGACCGATATAATTTTTGCAATGAATACACTCACTGTATACAAGAGCGGAACCCTAGACATGCCAAAATTAACCGATCATGAATCGTGCTTATGTGAGCTCGAACTCCAAAACACTTGCCTACAATATTTTATTGCAGAGATTTTCCTACTTCCACCGTGTTCAATTTGCTGGAGTGCTAGAGATGCTGCTTCCGTGGACTGGAGTTATATTGATACTTTCCCAAGTCTTGATGATAAAGTTCTCCATATCACCAAAGGCATTATTTTGCCATATGACATACATGGTCCAGCAAAAATAATTGCTTCACGTAGGAACTGCATATGTTACGTAACACATCAAATCAAATGTTTAATAAATTTGAAGCGAAAGGCGTACTATAAATTTAGAAATAGTGAAGGGCATCGTACATGTTACAACGATCTGAGACACTATTTATGTATAGCTTTGAAGAACGAAAAAGCTTACATAAAGTTCAAACTAAACAAGAATAAGTATGATTCTAAGCAACTTTGGGAAGATTTCTTGAGATGCAACATACATACAAAATCCAGTAAACAGATATCGCAGGACATTGAGGATGCTGAAACTATCAATAGTAACTTTGTTAATTCTTTAACCGTTCTACCAGATAACTTACTTTTTTTTTCGGGACAGAAAACTTCTATTGTACGTAATCCTCATTTCGTCCCATTACATCAGTCCAAATTTGAGAAAAATTGAAAGAAGTGAAGTCGAACGCTGCGGGTATTGGTGGTATCACCACAAATGTGTTGAGATACGTCTTTCCCTTTTGTAAAAATCAACTTACCAACATCAGCAACCAATCTCTGAGTACAGGAGAAGTACCATCATTGTGGAAGGAGTATATCATAACACCACTTGAAAAAATCTATAAGACTACAGATTTGAAGGACGTTAAACCAATAAGCGCTTTACCTGCAATGTCGAAACTACTAGAGAAGGTTGTGGATAATGCACTTCGTGAGCATCTACTCAACAAAGTACTGCCTGTCACCCAATCCGGACTCAGGAAATTATGTCATTACTTCATTAGCTCTTGTGAAAATTTCTAGTGATATAGTAGCAAGACAACAGTATAAGTGAGAGACTATACCAAGGCATTCGACACGGTTAATTAGAGCATTTAATGTAAAAAATTACAGCCCTATAGTTTGACGGGGAATGCCTTGCTGTGGTTTAATGGCTACTTGTCTGGTAGGTTTCAGTGTGTAAACGTCTACGATAAAGTGTCTACTCTACTATCTGTGAATTGCAGTGTTCCACAAGGAAGTATTTTAGGCCCATTTTATTTACTTTCTACACTTCAGATGTGATAGACCATATTCAATCTGTTTGGGATGTACATTTGTACGCAGATGATGTACAAATTTACAAAGCATGCCAACCGAATAATGTAAGTTCTTTGATACGAGAACTCGACGCCAACTTGAATATGATGATTGAATAGTATTGCAAAGATTATTGTTAAACATTAATCCCTCAAAAACCAAAGCATCTCTTATTGGTTTTAAGTTAGCAATTCACAAGTTTAAAGAAGCAGTAAACACAAACAGTTTTGGGAGGTATTGACATTGAATTTGTAGATCAAGCTAAAAACCTGGCAGTACTACTGGATGGAAATTTTACTTTCGAAAATCATATTATGAGTAAACTAAGGGTATGTTATTATAAATATAAATCGCTTTGGATGTACAAGTGTATCTTAACAAATGATATTAAGCTAAAACTTGTGAACCATTAATCCTCACTCATTTAGATTATGGCGTTGCTGTTAATTACAATTTTCTGACCGAAGAAATGAAACAGAAAGTTCAAGTCCTGCAAAACTGTTGCATGAGGTTTTGCTCCTTTATGCCGCTTTATTATTTAAGGTTTTGAAATATAAATCTCCAAATTATCTTTTTAACATTTTGGAGAAAAGATCCTCAGTTCATCATTTATTCTAGCTTGATGATTATAGCTACAATATTCCGAGCCCAATTACATCAAAATTTAAAAACTTACACTGCACCTATTATACCAAATGCGCACCCAAAATTTTTCGAGCTAATTTGACGAAGGTAGAAGTAGTTGAATAGTTAATTTCCGGAATGATAACTGTTACCCCTATTATTATAGTTTGTAATTTTGTATTTCGGTTAAATAGCTATTAGCTCTTGTATATGGTGCACACTTTCTCGCACTTCGTTTCTACATTAGCTACAGAGGTTAGGGTGAAAAATGACTTTGCCAATCCTCAGCATTTTGGGATATAATTATTTTGTTTTGTATTATGTAGCCATTTTTTTCTAATATGTATCAATACTCAAATAAAGATTATTATTATTTAGGGGAAACCCGGGCAAAGCGAATTAGACTTGCCTATCGGGAACAAATACAAAGATTATAATTTTATACTACGTGCATGGACGGCTTTTTAATGTATCTAACTTATGTTAGGGCAAATGATAAGGATTGGTTTGGTGAAAAACAAGGAAACTACTCACACGGATCGTTATTTTTGTTGAGTTTAAAATTGGTATTTTGATGCTGACAATATGTGAATATACAAATAATCAAGTATCCTGGTTGGAAAACATCATTTAATTTGTGCAAAACAGGAAACATAAAAACAACTACTGTAATGTAAGCTACAAGTGATAAATCCTCAGAATATGAGAACGCCCATGGTTGTTCTGTTCAGTTTATATATTTACGTAATTAATTGGCGTCTCAACTATCTGTGATATGTGTTTACCATACCCTAGCTTTGACAATTTGTATCGCTATGTACAACTAACTAAAAATTATTGTTAATTTCTTGTAGATCAATAAAAGAACATTACAAATGTTGTTCTTAATAACATATTAATTAACAATCCTGTAATAATAGCACCTAGTCTTCCTTTTGGACATAAGTAGTCGTTGGAAAAATGTTTGCTTGAAAGTTCGATAGAATCTGCGTAGACTGAAAGAGTACTGAAGAATAAATTTATAAAATTGTGTCCTATAGCATAACAGTACTTCCGGTGTAGCAGAAATCAGAATCTCCAGTATGGTTGCCGAAAGTAGAATCAACCCTCCGTGCCAGTTTTTTTTAAGTGTAAATCGAAGCTTTTTATCTGTTTGACTTCAAACTTGTGAGCTTTTGTTCCGAACGTAAATGAAGGATAAAGAGAGTTCGGAGATGGGGTTAGGATCATCTATCAAATCGAACGTAAAAGCGGTACAGACATGTAGAGATCGATGTGTGGAGGAAGATAGCCTAAAGAAAACACTACACTGGTCGCCAAGGAGGACGAGAGGAAGAGGTAACCCTCCTCCTTAAATAAGAAACATAGGTGAGAAATGCTAGAGGACGAATGAAAAGAAGAAGACAGTGAGAATAGAAGGCGTAATACTGTTAACACCAAACAAACAAATACCAATTCACCAACAAACGAAAGTAGATACACGCGTCACCATATTCGAAACCGAGAAGTTCATGTATCTCTTTTACTAAATTAACATCATCACACAAAGCACTCACCCTCATCATCACCAGAATCGAGCTGAGCATCAAGTTCCAAAAAACCCACCCATATCAAAATGAACAGACCGATCACAGATTTCATGACACTGGTATTACTTTCAAATTCTTAGGAGCTGGAGTCTATTCAGTGTGCTGTCACTTTCATTCTGCGGCTGTTTGTTTATTAGACTAGGTATTTATCGTGACAATGCGGCATATAATTAATGTCGAAATTTACCGTTTAGATATCCACGAAAAGACAGCAAACTATTTAAAATAATATGTTGAATGGAAGATAACGGAAGTATCCCATATCAAAGTCGCATGCTAATTGGGCTGTATTCAATAACTAAGTTACTGGAAAACCTTTAAAACACTTAAGATAGTTGTGTACTTTGAATCTGACGTGACGTCACTTTAGTGGAATTTTTCAAAACTATATACTTTCCAGAGTCGCAAAGCGAATGATTCTGTCTCATCTTTCAGTTCATGTCGCCCAAATATATCATTTTTTGCCATGAAAGCCTCTCGTCCGAAGTATCGATGGCACTGCCACCGCTAAAGCTCTTCCCATCCGTATGTCCCACTCCTAGTCATTTACAGTAACTAATTTGTATATATTGTTTCAAGACGGGTTATGAGATAGCCTGAAAAGAAACATAGATACCTACTTACTTAGGCGGATAGGCGTCCTTAGTTCTGCACTATTTATCATGGT